ATCCCAGTGGTCCCTTCTCAGTCCTTCTCTGGCTCCCCTCCCCGCCCACACACACATCATTTGTGGCAAGCGTCCCACCACAGAACAACTTTACTGATACCTAATTACTGATACCCAATTACTGATTTCATTTTAGTTTTTCTTTTAGCCATGCTCGAGCAGGTCCAGTAACGCCTCCATTGGAGACTTTGTTGTTACTGTGTTTGGCATATCGAATACGTCACGGGGAGCTTGCCAGGCTCTGCTGTGCGGGCGAGATACTCTCGGTAGCTTGCCGGGCTCTCCGAGAGGGGTGGAGGAATGGAACTCGGGTCAGCCATGTTGGCCGCTTGTAAGGCAAACGCCCTACTGCTGTGCTATCGCTCCAGCCATACCTTGCAGTGCTCAGGGCATACTCCTGGCTCTGTGCTCAAGGATCACTCCTAGTGGTGTTCGGGACCCAGGTGGTGCTAGGAATCAAATCTAGGTCAGCTACATGCTAGGCAAGTGCCCCACCCACTGTGCTCTCTCTCTCTGCCCTGAAATCTGCATTTTTTGTTGTACATTTTGGCAGAGGTAAGTGCCATCAGAAGAGAACACACCCCTCGCTCCCCCAAAAGAAGAAGGATCTTTCCTTAATTTTGCATTTGTATTTTTCTTTATTACTTTTTTGGAGCGATAGCACAGCGGGTAGGGCGTTCGCCTTACAAGCGGCCAACATGGCCGGCCCGAGTTCGATTCCTCCGCCCCTCTCGGAGAGCCCGGCAAGCTACCGAGAGTATTCGATATGCCAGACACAGTAACAACAAAGTCTTCAATGGAGACGTTACTGGGCCCGCTCGAGCAAATCGACGATCAATGGGAGGGCCTTTACCTTTTACCTTTACCTTACTTTTTTGGTTTTTTGTTTTTTTTTTTTTGGTGGTGGGGCAGAGATAAACCCATCTGATGGTGCCCAGGACTTACTCCTGTCTGTGTACTTCAGGGGTCACTCCTGGAGGGTCTCGGGGGATCATATGAGTGTCAGGGATCCAGCTGGGGTCCCTTACACGTGCAAGGCAAACGACTTGAGCCCCGAATCTCTCTGACCTCGTATTTGATTCGGTTTTCTCAAGGATGCTCTCCCAGTGTTTAGATGCTTCTGAACCCACAGGCTCTGGGTTTGTTCCCCAGAGGAGATGTCCCAGAGGGCAGGTTGAGAAACACTGATTGGGGTCAGAGTGGTAGCACAGCGGGGAGGGTATTTGCCTTGCACACGGCTGACCCGGGTTCGATTCCCAGCACCACCAGGAGTGATTCCTGAGTGCAGAGCCTTGAGCATCGCCAGGTGGGACCCGAAAAGCAAATAAATAATAAATAAATAAATAAAAGTTGTTGATAAAGACTGGAGGCCACTAGTCTCCTTGTGTGGGCTCCGAGGGCCAGTCCGTTGACCCTTGTGCCAGGAGCAGTGTGAGGACGGCAGCTCCCTACTAACTGGGGCCGTGACCTCCAGCTCCTGTTCTGTGCCCTGTTTTCGCTTATCACTGGGGTCCCCTGGCCAGGGCTGCAGACCCGGGGGTGGTGGGTGTGAGGGGGATCCGTCCCATGGTGCCTGGGTGCAGGGTGGTGGCTGCGTGACGCCTTTCCCTGGAAAGCCCGAGCAGGGACACAGTGCTGTGTGGCAGCTTGGGGTGCTGGGGAGGCCGTGGTGGGTCTCCACCATCCACCCCCCTTTCCCAGGCCCCGTTCTTCCTGGCCGACGAGTCCTCCCAACGGTGGCCTCGGCCTCGTAATTCAGCCTTGGCAGGGGAGAAAGGTCAGCTGGGGGGCCAGCTGCATCTTGGCGGTTCTCTCTGGGGACACGCCAGGTGGCCTCCAGCCTACACACTCCACCTCCCTCGCACCACCCGTTTCCTGAGTGAAGGCGGGAGGGGGCGGGGTGCTGGGCCCGCTGATCCTGCGCTGCGCAGAGAAGTGACAACCCCCACCCCCACCCCGCCCGTGGTTCCACATGCGGCGCCCATTGTGGGGGTCCCAGTGGGTTCACTGTGCAGCCCCTGTGTCTGCTCAGATCCCCACCCCTTACTATAGTGGACACTCAGGTGGCCTTGTTTGGGCCAGGAGCTCACAGGGCGGCAAGTAGGTGTGTGCAGGTCACCTGACTTCTTTTTCTTTTTTTTTTCTTTTTCTTTTTTTCTTTTTGGGTCACACCTGGCGATGCACAGGGTTTATTCCTGGCTCATGCACTCAGGAATTACTCCTGGCGGTGCTCAGGGGACCCTATGGGATGCTGGGAATTGAACACGGGTCAGACGCGTGCAAGGCAAACGCCCTACCCGCTGTGCTATCATTCCGGCCCCTCACCTGGCTTCTCTGTATTGGACTTAAGGGCCTCTGACTGCCTCCTTGGGTTCATTTGGGGTCTCCACATTGACACCCCCTTGGTCGCCTATTCCCCACCCACAGAACAGGCAGCTTTTGTTTTTTTGTTTGCTTTTTGATTTGGGGTCATCCCCAGGGGTGCTCAGGAATCACTCCTGGTGGTGCTCAGAAAACTGTATCTGTATGGGGCTCAATCCCGGGTCTCCTGCATACAAGGGAAGTGCTCTACCCACTGCGCTATCTCTGCAGTCCCCGTGTTGGACTGTTGTGGGGGTCAGCCTGGGAGAGGGATGGGGGGGTCCACGGGTGTCAGCTGCAGGAGGAAGCCCAGAACCCGGGATGTCCCTGCAGCCCCACAGTTGGGTCGAAGGTCCCACTCAGGAGGGGGGATAGAGGGGGCTCCCCATCTGCCATGGGGTATAGGTGACACGGTGGCCCACATGCTCCGAACCCGCGAGGACTCCAGGTGACCAGGGGCCTCAGGGGACCAGGAAGGGGTCTGCAGAACGGTGCATCCTCCCACCCTTCCCTTGGGGACGGGTCTTTTCTGCTTTACTCACGGTTGCTTCTTCTCTGTGTACGCAGCACACCTCTAATTTATGGACTATCCATTGTTTAGTGTGTGACCATTTCTCCAGTCTCTATTTATGGGTTTTTTTTTTTCTGCTTTTTGGGTCACGCCCAGCAATGCTCAGGGGTTACTCCTGGCTCTGCGCTCAGGAATTACTCCTGGCGGTGCTCAGAGGACCATACGGGATGCTGGGAATCGAACCCAAGTCGGCAGCGTGCAAGGCAAAAGCCCTACCCGCTGTGTTATCGCTCCAGCCCCGATTTATGGTATTTTATGTGTCTCGGATCACGGATCACAGTCCTCCCGTTGTTCATCGATTTGCTCGAGCGGGCCCAGTAACGTCTCCATTGGAGACTTTGTTGTTACTGTGTTTGGCATATCGAATACGTCACGGGGAGCTTGCCAGGCTCTGCCGTGCGGGCGAGATACTCTCGGTAGCTTGCCAGGCTTTCCGAGAGGGGCGAAGGAATCGAACTCGGGTTGGCCATGTTGGCTGTGTGCAAGGCAAACGCCCTACCGCTGTGCTATTGCCCCGGAGTGTATATCGTTGTTTTCTTTGCAATAAACTAGTCTCCAAGATTTCTTTTACACATGCTTCCTTTCCTCCTCACACCTCCTTAATTTTCACACTCCTTACTAGGATTTTTTTTTGGGGGGGGGCCGGGAGTGGGGGGTGCATAGGGGAGCGAGATTGTTTGCTTGTTTGGTTTTGGGTCACGCCCAACCATTTTCTGGCTTACTGTTGGCTCTGCCCTCAGGGATCATTCCTACTAGGACTCAAGGGACCATATGGGGTGCCCAGGATTGAACCCAGGTAGACAGCACTCAAGGCAACTGCTGCACCAGCTGTCTGGCCCACACGATAGTTTTCACTGAACAAGACTTACTTAGAAAGATGCAGAGAGGAAGGAAAGGAATGCGTGTTCAAAAGAGAACACAGCTTCTTCAGAGTGGAAGATACAGGCAATACTACACAGAGACAAGCAAGTGACATACATGTTGGAGGGAGAACACAGGCTTGAAGAACAAGTCCATTCCTTACTTTTTTTTTTTTTACTCAATATCAAGTTTCTTTGACAGTTTTGGTGCTCACGTGTTTGAGGTGCAAAAAGTGAAATAGTCTGTCTTCTATACCCAGAAGATTGTTTCAAACTCACGGATAAAGTGTGCCTCAATACAGTTTGTTTTGTTTTGGGGTTTTTTTGTCGATTTTGAATAGACTGTAGCACTGTAGCTCTGTCCTCCCGTTGTTCATCAATTTGCTCCAGTCGACACCAGTAATGTCTCCTTTGTGAGACTTGTACCAGTAACGTCTCCATTGTGAGACTTGTTGTTACTGTTTTTGGCATATCGAATACACCACAGGGAGCTTGCCAGGTTTTGCTGTGCAGGCAGGATACTCTCGGTAGCTTGCCGAGCTCTCCAGGAGGATGGAAGAATCGAACCCGGGTTGGCCACGTGCAAGGCAAACGCCCTACCCGCTGTGCTATCCCTGCAGCCCTTGAATAGACTAGGCTCACTATTTTAGTTTATTCACTCTTGGAGATCTGCTTTTTTTTGCTGGGGGCGGGGGGGTTTCCACACCCGGTGATGCTCAGGGGTTCCTCCTGGATCTACACTCAGAAATTATTCCTGGCGGTTCTCGGGGGACCATACGGGTTGCTGGGAATCGAACCCAGGTTGGTCACGTGCAAGGCAAATGCCCTCCTCACTGTCCTATCGCTCCAGCCCCAGATCTGCTTATTTTTAAATAGCCTCTTGCTCACTTGATAAAAATAAATAATGAAGCCAGAGAGATAATACGGAGGGTGAAGCACTGGCCTTGCATGCACCCAACCCGGGTTTGATCCCCAGCAACACACAGGAGTCCTGAGCCCACCAGGAGCGATTCCTGAGTACAGAGCCAGGACTAAGCCCTGAATTCTGACGGATGTGCTGCATTCCCCCATCCCCCCACCCCCGCAAAAAAAAAAAAAACAGTGTTTTTATTGTACTCCAGGTGGACAGCGTGCAGCATGGGACGCCCACCCCAGTCTTGGTAGTCTTTTGTCCTTTCCCTTCTCAGCCCCTGCTGGTGTCTCTGCAGGTCGGAACGAGCTGATTGCCCGATACATCAAGCTCCGGACAGGGAAAACCCGTACCAGGAAGCAGGTGAGCCCGGGGAGATGGATCTGAGGGCCCCGGGGGCAGCCCCCCACCTCAGGCTGTGTGGGTGGGTTCTGTTTGCTGTGCTAGTGGGCCCTGCAGCCACCACCTGGGATGGGTCCCTGAACCTGACCCAGCAGCCCCTTCTCCTCCTCCTCTGGTACCCCAGAGCAGGGCAAAACACTGACACTTCTCTTGGATTTGGTGCTGAACTCTGAATTAGTGGGATAAGGCAGGTCTCCTGGTCTGTGATTGACCTGGCCTTCCTTTCATTCATCATATCCATCCATCATCCATCTACTCACCCATTCATCCATCCGTTGACCAACCCATTCATCTATCACCCATTCATCCATCCACTCATCTACCCACCCGCCCACACATCTATCCATCATCCATACACCCCTCCATCCGTACACTCATCAGCCTATCCATCCCACCCACAGTCACCCATCCACTCATTTACCAATTCATCCATCTACCATCTACCCACTCTCCATTCCCCAATCCATTCTCCTATGGTCCATCCATCCACCGACTCATCCATCCATCCATCCATCCATCCATCCATCCATCCATCCATCCTTCATCCATTCATCCATCCATATACCCATACACATAAACACCTACATCCATCCACCCACCCACCCCTCCCTCCATCTGCAGATGTGGATTTAAGGGCTGTGCGGGACTGAGGGCTGGGAGTACCAGGAGAGACAAGGACCCTTCTCTTCCGGTCACAGGTCTCCAGCCACATCCAGGTGCTGGCTCGTCGCAAAGCCCGCGAGATCCAAGCCAAACTGAAGGTAGGTCGGGCAGAGGGGGGCTGGAGTAACCAGGGCTGGAGAGGGGAGGATGGTGCGTCCCTGAGCCTGGAGCTCTCTTCCTTTGAGGTTTGGGGCCTGGTTACTTGTGTGCAGAGATAGCCTACATCTCCCTATTGATGGGGGTTCAAGTGCTGTGTGTGTGTGTGTGTGTGTGTGTGTGTGTGTGTGTGTGTGTGTAGAGCAAGTTTCATATAGCATACTGGGAAGCTGCCAGGGTATCCCTGTTCTTCCCTCATTTTTCGTTTGTTTGGGGGCCACACCCAGTGATGGGTGCAACAGATAATGCTCAGGCATTACTCCTGGATCTGCCCTCAGGAATTACTCCTGATGGTGCTTGGGCGACCACATAGGAAGCCACAGACTGAACCTGGGTGAGCCCCATGCAAGGCAAATACCCACTGCACTATCTCTCCAGTCCCTACTCCTGCAGCCCGGCAGGAACACACATGGCCGAAAGCAGGAAATTGCTCTCAAAAATTCAACCCCCAGGGCTGGAGTGATAGCACAGCGGGTAGGGCTTGCACGCAGCAGCATCCCATATGGTCCCCTGAGCACCGACAGGAGTGATTCCTGAGTGCAGAGCCAGGAGTAACCCCTCTGCAATGCCAGGTATGACCCAAAAACCAAAAAAAAAAAAAAAAATCCAACCCCATTTCTTGAGAACCTGCTAGAGTGACTGTCCCCTTCAAAGTCCCTCTGGCCCCTTCATAACATCCCCTGGAGCCTGTGGGGCACCTTACACAATGGGAGTTGTGTCTGGATTCTGTGTTCTGTGGGATGAACACAGTGTCGGGGTGTTGGGGTGAAGGGTGGGAGCCTGGCTCTGGCGGGTTATGGTGCATTAAAACAATACCCACAGGGCTGGAGCGATAGCACAGCAGGGAGGGCGTTTGCCTTGCACGCGGCCGACCCGGGTTCAATTCCCAGCATCGTTTAGGGTCCCCCGAGCACCGCCAGGAGTAATTCCTGAGTGCTAAGCCAGGAATAACCCCTGAGCATCACCAGGTGTGACCCAAAAAGCAAAAAAGAAAAGAAAAGAAAAAGAAAAAAACACCACATTCACACAAACATCTCTTTTTTCTTTTTTCTTTTTTTTCTTTTTTAAGTACAGAACTGTGGTTTTTCAGTTATTGGTAGTTGAGTTGTAGGTATAAACCCTAGAACCCCAAACTACCCTAGGGTTTAAGATCTCTAGTGTGTCTTAATGTGAGCTGCCTGGGGAGTGGTACAGTTGGGAGGGGAGTGCTTTCTGCTTGTCTGCATAAAGAAGGTAGATTTCCAGGGAGGCACTGAGTGGTTTTTATGGTTCCCCGAGGAAGAGGGAGGTGAGCCAGATGGTGGGGGGGTCTGCATGCTGAGCCTGGGGCTATCTCTCTGCTTCCCTGTGCGCTGGAGTGACCCCCAAGCACTATAGAATGTGCCTCCACCGAACCAAAAACAGAATAAAGAAGTCTCTAAACTAGATGCCCCAAAGGTCGGTTGATCCCGACAGTCCCAGGAGGAGGGAGTGAGTGGGCTGCAGGAGTGCCTGCTGGGCTCCCTCCCTGGTCCCTCAGCTGTCCTCTGCCCTTCACAGCTGCCCCTTTGTGCCCGGACAGCGGCTGGGCCGCAGCTGTTGCTCCCATCCTCTCAGGCCACCACATGTACCCTGAAAACTCCCAGCCCTGGGGCCCAAATGTTCACACACACACACACACACACACACACACACACACACACACACACACTTACTCCCCTTCCATCCCCTCTCTGGTGAGTCCTGACAGTGCCTCTGCTGGTGACTGGGTGGAGGGGACAGGCGGTGGGGTGACCAACCTTTCTTTTCCTGAGAAAAGAACTCTCTGGGGTCCAGAGAGTGGCCCACATTTGCTTTAAGGGACTGTGTTACCTTTCCACACCCTCTGGCCCAGGTCCCAGGGCAGCCTTCAGTGGACCATCAGCCAGCTCAGTGCGGACTTGGGAACCATGAAATTAGGGGCAGGTATTTTTTTCTTTTTTTTTTTAAATTAATTAATTTGTTTATTGAATCACTGTGGGAAAAGTTACAAAGCTTTCAGGTTTAAGTCTCGGTCATGCAAATATCAAACACATTTCCCTTTACCAATACTTATTTTTCACCACGAAGAACCCCAGTAAGCCCCCCTCCCCCCCAAACCTCCCAATGCCTGTGAGGCAGATGAATTCTAGTTAACACTCTATCTACTTTGATCAGATTCATTGTTTTGACAAAAGATGCACCATTATTATTTAGAGTTTACACCCCCAAATCAGACCTGCTGAAAAGGTACTGTGAAATAATTTGTTTTCTACAGCTGGTCACAAGAATCAAACGATGTCGCGCGGCCACTAACACGGCTGCGCAATTTTGGATTTCTGGTATTTTACTAATTAAGCCTGGAAGTATTTCTGCTGAGAGTCAGATAATTATGAGATTGGTTTCTGTGCTCTGGAGCCATGGCTGTGCCGGAGAGAGCCACTCGTGGGGGGCAACTGGTGACCTCGGTAGGGCGTGAAGGACGAGCCGGGAACACCTCCCTTCCCATGAGGTTTCAGTCACCCCAACACGACCAGCTCATACCTGGCTTTCCATAAAGCTCCGAAGTGGCTGCCATCTTTTTTTCCAGAGGGAAAAAGGCGGAAGGGAGCAACACCCTTTCCCCTCCGGGCAGGCATGGTGGCGTGGATTAACGCATAGCCCGTTCACTTTTCTGCTGCAAGCTGCAGGGCAGGTATTTTTTTTTTCCCCTTTTTGTCGATTCACCGTGAGGTACAGTAACAGAGCTTTCACGCTTGAGCTTCGATCATACAGTCATCAAACACCCATCCCGTCACCAGTGCACGTTTTCCACCACCCAATTCCCCAGTATCCCCCCGCCCCCCATTCCACACCTCCCCCTGCCTGTGTGGCAGACAATTTGCACAATAGTCTCTGTCTCTACTTCAGTTACCTTCGATATTTGAGCCCAGTCCCACCACCACTCAGACCCGCTGAAAAGGCAATGCTAGACAGTGTGTTTTGTATTGCTTTTTATGGATACGACATAAATGTCGCATGGCCACATTCGCTCTGGGAATTCTAAAATTTTAATGATTAGGGTCCGGAGAGCTCACTGCAAGCAAGTTGCTTGGGTCCAAGATTCATTTGTGTGTCTCTGGATCATGGCACTGTGACATGGTTGGATGCGGCGTCATCTCAGAGTCCCATCGGGGCTGGGGGAAGAGAAGGGCCCACTCCTCCCCTGTCCTGTGAGGCCTGGCGCTTCCTGCCATCGCCACCCATATGTGGAGCTTTTCGCTGAGTTCTAGAAGATGGCGGCTGGCGGGGTTCCTGGGGGACAGGTGGAGGGACGGCACCTGAGGGGCAGCTGTTTTGCGTCTTTGGTGCTTTTCCAAAGGGCATGGTCTTTCTTTCCAAAGGACTGCCAGGAGCGAGCACTGGGCCAGGATCAGTCACCATCTGATCACTAGGTCTGGAGCAGCCCCCAAGCACTCCTGGGTGTGGCACAGAAACAACCCCCTCAAACGGCCTGTGACAGGGTGGGCTCATAGGTCACCTCCTCCGGGACTCTGGTCAGGGCCCCTACTCCCTGCTGAGCTCTGCAGCAGCTGAGACTGAGGGGACACTAGTCTGCCAGACTTCCCGGGGGACGGCCACCGCTCCGGGCCTGTCCTCCAGGAGGAGGGGTCTGAGCAGGCTGACCAGGGTGCCCAGCCAGTCCCTAGCTCCCACCTGAGTTAGCAGAGTCAGCCTTGGCTTGGTGGGGCCGCGGGTGAAGGAGGTCCCTGACCCTCTTTGGGTGGACTCGGGCACACGCCAGCTATTCCCCAATCCTGAAGGCCTGGCAGGATGCCCGGATGCCCCTGGTGGGGGCGCAGTGCCAGTCCCACCTGTGCCTCCCTAGTCCTGTGGTCCTCCCCTCGGGCCCTGTCACTGAGTCACTCTGTGGGGTGCCCTCCTTGGGTGGGTGCTTCCCGCCTCACAGAGGGCTATGACACTGCGGTCTTGGACTATCTCATGCCACGCGGTGGGATGTGTGCCCTTAGTGGTCTCTGAGGGGCCCCACGGAGGATCTGATGGACCCCCGCGCCCCTCAGAGCCTGACTCCTGGATACTTCTCCCAGGGAAACTGAGGAGGGGCCAGGCCCGATCAACTTCCAGGACCTCTGTCCACTCTCAACTTGCCCCTCACTCAGCACTGACCCAGTTCTACCAGATCCTTCCCCTGCCATGGCCCATTCCTTATCCCCGTGAGAGAATCCATCAGAAAGGTGAAGAATTTCAGGACCCGGGGGCCATAGAACAGCAGGGAAAACACTTGCTTTCCTCAGAGCTGACCGGAGTTTGATCCACAGCATCCCATATGACCCCCCCCCCCCGACTCCCCAACCTCAGGAGTGAACCGCACAGCCAGAAGGAAGCCCCGAGTGTTGCTGATAATAAACAACCCCGAAAGAAACACAGGGAATTTCTCACAGATGACCTGTGGAATCCCATCTTTTAGCCCCAATAAAGCTGTGACGCTGGTTGGCTGACACGCCTCGTTCCAGCAGATTATGTGATCTTCATTTGGTCAGAGACACCGTTCCTAGAGGGCTTTTTGAAATACAGAATGTTTGAAATGTCAGGGGTTACTCCTGACTCTGCACTCAGGAATTACTCCTGGCGGTGCTTGGGGGGACCCTATGGGATGCTGGGGATCAAACCCGGGTTGGCCGCGTGCAAGACAAACGCCCTTACCCTCTGTGCTATCACTCCAGCCCCTAGAGTGCTCTGTTTGGCTTTTGGCGCACACTCAGCAGTGCTCAGGGCTCACTGCCGGCTCTGTGCTTAGGGATCACTCCTGGAGGGGCTCGGGGGATCCCGTCGGATGCCTGGGATGCAACCCAGGCCGGCCACATTCAAGGCAAGTGCTCTGCCCTCTGTACTATCACTCTGGCCCCAACTTAGAGTGTTTGAAATCCAGAATGCTGTCCCTCTGGTCCTAAAGCCCTTCGGGCCCGTTATTCAGAAATCACAGAGGCTGTCTCGCCGATGCTGTGTCTTACACTCTTACTTGCTCCTACCTGGCGCTCTCCTGAAAGCTTATTAACAGCCCGTGCAGGGGAGAGCCATTCTTTTTATTTATTTATTTTTTCTTTTTGGGTCACACCCGGCGATGCCCAGGGGTTCCTCCTGGCTCTGCACTCAGAAATCACTCCTGGTGGTGCTCGGGGGATCCTATGGGATGCTGGGAATCGAACCTGGGTCAGCCGCGTGCAAGGCAAACAGCCTCCCTGCTATGCTATTGCTCCAGTCTCTACAAATCATTTTTTTTATATTTCCCACTGTCTTCATGTCTCAGAATTGCCAGTCAGCTGGTTGGTTATCCCACGACACTGTTTGCAGGACAGACACTCGTCATAAAATGACAAGAGTTCAGGGTATGCGGGGACCAGGCAGAGGGCAGCTGCGGTCTGGCCACCAGTCTGCCGACACTCGCCCAGCTCTCAGGAGACGAGTGTCATGTCCCGGGAGAGGGAGGTCCGCGGGCCCGGGAAACTCAGGGCCGTGCTCAGCATCCCAGAGCGTGTGCAGGTGGGCACCGTGGGGACCTGTGCCTGGTCCAGGGCGACAGCCGCAGGCAGAGGACAGCCTCCCTGCCACCCGCTCGGAGCCTTGCTGTCCTACTGAGACCCCCACCCGTTATCTCCTTCCAGGACCAGGCAGCGAAGGACAAGGCCCTGCAGAGCATGGCTACCATGTCATCGGCCCAGATCATTTCCGCCTCCGCCTTCCACAGTAAAATGGCCCTGGCCCGGGGCCCCGGCTACGCAGCTGTCTCAGGGGTAAGTGGGCAGCGTGGCCTGCTCGCTCCTCCCCTCTGGAGAATCCCAGTGCGTCTCATTTGAGTCAGGAGACCTTTGTTGGATCAGAGCTGCCCACTGGGAGGTGTGGGTCCAGTTCTCTGTTGACAAGATCATCCGGAGTCTGGTCTGGTTTTCCAGGGTGGGATGTGACACTCCAGTCTTGCCTTCGGAGCACTTCCGGTCACCAAAAATGACCCCCAAATCACGAATCACGACCATCCTGTTATTCGTCAATTGCCTCAAGCAGGCCCCAGTAACGTCTCCTTCATCCTAGCCCTGAGATTATATTCAAGGCTCTTTAGGAGAATGAGACCCATCATTGTTACTGGTATTTGGCATATTGGGTACGCCACGGGGAGGTTGCCAGACTCTGCCGTGTGGGCAGGCTACATTCGGTAGCCTGCCAGTTTGTCCAAAGTAGGAATGAGATAATAAGATGTCATAATAAGATGTTCCGGGAGCTGGGTTTTATAGTCTCTGAGTCTTGGCCGTTGATGGGATTACATGGTGCCAGGGGGCCAGTTGGTGGGTGTGACCCCTGCCTACTGGAATTTGGAGGATCTGGGTGGAGGATGCTCGGCCCCAATCCGAGTAGGCTTAGAGATCTCGGCCCCAGTACCTTCATGTGTGACCCCCAAATAATTAGGCCTAAATGAAAGGCCTTGGAAGTTGGGTGCCTGGTCCTGTCCCCAGAAGCAAACCATTTCTGCAAGTCATTTTTTGTTTTGTTTTGTTTGGCTTTTTGCATGTAGCATTTAGGGGGGAGGGGGCAGGGGGTCTGAGAGCAAGGATGAAGGGGCCATGAAGAGTCCCCTGCGTGGGGGTGACCCTGCAACCCTGTCCCCAGGGAGAGCCATGCTCTGTGGCACGCTGACGAGGGGGTGAAGGCCACCAGCTCTTCAACGCGGCTGTGCCCAGAGGTGCTTGGCTTGGCCCTCCCTTCCCCCTGTCTCCAGGCTCCGCCACTGGAAGGGTTGGTTGCTCTCTGAGAAGGTTCCGGAAGCGTCTCCTCTCCAGGGCGAGTCCTCCCAGGGGCGCTTGGCTGGAGGGGCCACCTGGGTCTTGCACCCGTGCAGGCAGGGACGGAAGGAGGCATGGCCAGGGCTGGGCGCTGGGGACTTTGCTGGGTCATTTTTTTTTCTTTTTTCTCTTTTTCTTTTTTGGGTCACACCCGACGATGCCTAGGGGTTACTCCTGCCTCTGCACTCAGGAATTACCCCTGGTGGTGCTCAGGGGACCATAGGGGATGCTGGGAATCGAACCCAGGTCAGCCGCGTGCAAGGCAAACGCCCTACCCGCTATGCTATTGTTCCAGCCCCCCCCCCACCTCACTCTACTTTTTGTCCCCTCAGTTTTGGCAGGGAAATTTGCCGGGACAAGCCGGAACATCCCACGAGTGAGTATGGCCGGGGACTGTCACCTGAGCCTGGCCCCCAGGGTGGCATGGGGGGGGGGGTCCCCACTGGGCAGCCTGGGGGATTGGAGACTCTAGCCTGTTCCTGGCCCAGCCTGCAGTGTGGACGCCCTGGAGTGACATTGGTGACTCTCAGAGCTCAGCAGAGCTGGGGCAAGGGGCTCTGGGTAGGGGGTCAGCGGGGAAGAAGACCGAGAAGGGGAGGTGAGCCCAGCTGCAGGACTGGGGGCCGTGTAGGGCCCGGGGCTCAGGCCTCCCTCCGTGTGGTCTCTGCAGTGTGAAACCTTTCTCCCCGCAATCCTACGCCGCCGTCCAGCCCTCCCTGCCGCTGCCAGGTGAGTCTCAGCGCGGGGTGCCCCCTTGCTGCGCGGTCACGCACCCCGAGGTCTGCCCCAGACGCACTCACACAACGGGGGTGTCCTGTCCTGGTGCGGGCTCGGCCGGCAGTCAGGGGGTACATCTGCACCCATCCACTGGCTGGCCCCCCGGGGAGACACGTCCTCACCTTCCATACAGCTCCCCTGAGCACAGCTAGCAGACCGCAGCCCGCCCGGGGTGGGGGGGGGGGCGGGGAGGGGGCGCTGGTGGCAGAACCCCCCAGGAGCCTCTCACCCCCTGCCCCCTGCCCAACTCGCCCCTTGCTTCTTTCTCCCAAGGGACCACAGCCCCAGTAAGACAGGGCATCCCCACTTTCTGGCTGGGGAGCGACTCCCTGCCTCGGGCTGTCACCTGCAGAGCCTGTGGGCTGCCTCTCCTTCCGTCCTTCCTTCCTTCCTTCATTCCTTCCTTCCTTCATTCCTTCTTTCATTCCCTCCCTCCCTCCCTCCTTCCTTCCTTTCTTCCTTCCTTCCTTCCTTGCTTCCTATCTTCCTTCCTTCCTTCCCTCCCTCCCTCCCTCCTTCCTTTCTTCTTCCCTTCCTTCCTTCCTTCCTTGCTTCCTATCTTCCTTCCTTCCTTCCCTCCCTCCCTCCCTCCTTCCTTTCTTCTTCCCTTCCTTCCTTCCTTCCTTCCTTCCCTCCCTCCCTCCTTCCTTCCCTCCTTCCTCCCTTTCTTCCATCCTTCCTTCCTTCCCTCTCTCCTTTCCTCCCTCCTTCCTCCCTCCCTCCCTCCCTCCCTTCCTTCCTTCCTTCCTTCCTTCCTTCCCTCCTTCCCTCCTTCCTTCCTTCCTTCCTTCCTTCCTTCCTTCCTTCCTTCCCTCCCTCCCTCCTTCCTTCCCTCCTTCCTCCCTTCCTTCCATCCTTCCTTCCTTCCTTCCCTCTCTCCTTTCCTCCCTCCTTCCTCCCTCCCTTCCTTCCTTCCTTCCTTCCTTCCCTCCTTCCCTCCTTCCTTCTTTCCTTCCTCCCTCCCTCCCTCCCTCCCTTCCTTCCTTCCCTCCTTCCTCCCTCCCTCCCTCCCTCCCTCCCCTCCTCCCTCTCTCCCTCCCTTCCTTCCTTCCTTCGTTCCTCCCTTCCTTCCTTCCTTCCTTCCTTCCTTCCTTCCTTCTTTCTGTCTTCTAATTTCTGGGTCACATCTGGCTGTACTTGTGACTTACTCCTCTCTCTGTGCTCAGGGACCACTCCTGGCAGTGCTTGGGGGACCATGTGCAGTGCCAGGGATCAAACCCAGGTTGACTGCGTGCAAGGCAGCCACAGCCCTCCCTGCTGTGCTATCTCTCTGGCCTTCCTTGACAGGCACTTTTTTTTAGGGGGGGTTCACACCCAGCAACACTTAGGGGTCACTCCTGGCTCTGCACTCAGGAATCACTCCTGGCGGTGCTCAGGGGACCATATGGGATGCCTGGGATTGAACCCAGGTCGGCCGTGTGTAAGGCAAACGCCCTCCTCGCTGTGCTATTGCTCCAGCATGATGACAAGCACATTTTTTAAAATTATTTATTTATTTATTTTTAATTTTTTTAATTTATAAAGTAGTTCACAATATTTCATTACATTTAATATTCAAACACCAATCCCACCACCATGACACCTTCCCACCACCATATTTCAGATGTTTCAGTCCTGAACCCCAAGCCCTGCCCCAAAGCAGAACTGAAATAATATACTCTGTATTGTTTGTTATGAAAAACCACTGAAAATGCTACCAAAAAAGTTTCCTTAGAAGAAGGAGTATGGAGATTGTTGTATTTCACCCAGGGGCATTAAGCCCTTCTATAAGAGATCACTAACATGTTATTAAAGGTTGAGCCTTGTGTGCTATATATGTGTGTGTGTGTGTGTGTGTATACATATATATATATATATATATATATATATATATATATCCCGCACAGCAAAGCCTGGCAAGCTCCCCGTGATGTATTCGATATGCCAAACACAGTAACACCAAGTCTCAAAATGGAGACGTTACTGGGCCCGCTCGAGCAGAATCAATGGACAATGGGAGGACAGTGATATATATATATATATATATGTGTGTGTGTGTGTGTTTGTTATATATATATATATATTTCCCTCTAAGATTGTTGCCTCCTACTTTGGTTTTTTTTTTCTTTTTGGGTCACACCTGGTGATGCACAGGGGTTACTCCTGGCTCTGCACTCAGGAGTTACTCCTGGTGGTGCTCAGGGGACCCAATGGGATGCTGGGAATCGAACCCGGGTCAGCCACGTGCAAGGCAAACTTCCTACCCGCTGTGCTATCTCTCCAGCCCCTGCCTCCTACTTTGAACCCTACCAAATGTGGAATGTGTTGCGGTTCATCCTGGAGGATGGGCAGGGTGTGTGGTTTGAAGCATCCAGGAACAGATTCACACTCGTGGGTGAGGCTCGCCCGAGCGTGTGGAAAGCGGCCGTGAGCGTGGAGGTTTCCGGCCACCGGGACTGGTCCCTGGGGCAGGGAGGGCTCTCACCCACCCCCTGACCCCTCCAAGGTGCCCCAAGTGAAACAGCCCCGACAGGCACATCTCGAAGTCTCAGTTACATCTCACTGATAGGGACAGTCTTTCCGGGCAAGAATCTCTGGGTGCCTGCCCGGGGACCCCTCTGTCCAGCGGGCAGCCTGCTCCTGGCCCCGGCATCAGCTCGAGGAGGGGACTTGGGGGGTCGTGCTGGACCAGACTCCCCTCCTCTCATCCCCCCAGCGCCCAGCGAGGAGGCTCGTGCTGGGGCCTGGCAGTGAGGTCCCCGCTCACGGAGGGTGGTGGTGACCTGGAGGTGGTGCACCCCGGGGTCCCCATGCCGCAGCCTGTGTGCAGAGTTCCACTCGCCCGCAGGAGCTGCCCCGTCCCCACCGGCGCCCCCGTGGCAGGGCCGCAGCGTGGCCAGCTCCAAGCTGTGGATGTTGGAGTTCTCCGCCTTCCTGGAGCAGCAGGACCCCGATGCAGTAGGTTTTGCCTCCGCGGAGACCCCGGCCCCCTGCCTCTGCTCCCCACCCCACCCGACCCCAGGGCAGGCTAGGGAGGGGGGGGGTCCCTCTGCCCATCCAGCCTCTTCCCTCCCCTCCCCCTCCCCTGCCTGCTCTCCCTTGCTTGCTTTTTTTTTTTTTTTCTTTTTGGGTCACACCTGGCGATGCTCAGGGCTTTCTCCTAGCTCTGCACTGAGGAATCACTCCTGGCAGTGCTCAGGGGACCCTATGGGATGCTGGGGATCGAACCCGGGTCAAACGCGTGCCAGACAAACGCCCCCCCCCCCTCCCCGGGCTGTGCTATGGCTCCAGCCCCTCCCTTGCTTTCTCGAGAGGGCCTTGGTCCAGGCCTCAGCCCTCCCCGCCAAGCCCTGGACCCTGCCCCACACCCTGTCTGTCTGTCCCCCACGCTCCTTGGGCACACGCATGCGTCCTTCCAAGAGACCCCTCCCCCCATTCCTGATCCCCCCGAACCGGTGGTAGGGAGCAGCCGTCCTCCCTTCCGGGGGGCCCAGCGGCCCCTGCCAGGGTCCCAGCAGCAACAGAGATGTGGGACAGAGCATAGGGTGTGCGGGGGGGGGGGGTGCTCCATGTGGCATGCATGTTAGTTGAGGGTCGGGTGAGATGAGACGCCCCCTGCCTGCGGATGGCATGGGCTGGGGTACGAGTTTAGCAGCTGCAGTTGGAGCCCCTCCCTTGCTGGGTGCTGGCACAACTCTCGGGGGCCTCATGCCCACCTCTCAGCTTTGCTTCTCCGCTTTGCCAGTGATGTGGTTGGGGCCTGGAATCCTGTCTGTCCATCCATCCATCTGTCCGCCTGAGGCTCTCGCCTCCCCTCCCCACCCCCACACACATACCCATCATCCTTTCCGCAGTACAACAAGCACCTTTTCGTGCACATCGGCCAGTCCAGCCCCAGCTACAGTGACCCCTACCTCGAGGCCGTGGACATCCGCCAGATCTACGACAAATTCCCGGAGAAGAAGGGAGGGCTCAAGGAGCTCTTTGAACGGGGTCCCACCAACGCCTTCTTCCTCGTGAAGTTCTGGGTAAGCCCGTGGACAGGCTCTCACTGCCCCAGAGCTGAGAAGACAGGAGCGGGGAGGAGGTGGAGGAGTCAGCCCAGCTGGACCAGGGTCCCTGGGAGCAGGGGTCCTGAGGCCATCCAGCGCTGGGGGTGCTGAGCAGTGTGGTGGGGGCTGTCCATGGAGCATCCAGGGGGCTGCAGAACCAGGGAAAGGTCCGGGAGAGACCAGGGCACAGGCAGGTGAGGAGTCAGCCCGGAGTTGGGCTTGAACAGTGGATGCTGGCTGGTTGCAGAGCCTCAAGCAGAACAGCTGCTCTGAAGCGCCCTTGAGGGGGGTTGGGAGAGAGAACGGCAGGTTGGGCCCTGCCTAGTACACACTCGGCCCGGTTCGATTCCCGGTGCCGCCTGTTCACGAGGATTACCAGCTGTGGTACCTTTTCATGTACCTGTTGGTCGAGAATTCGTATTTCTGTTCTGAATCCTTTGTAGGCTTTAGATAGTAACCTCTGATCCGGTTGCAAAGATTTTTCTCCCATTGGATAGGTTGCCTTTTAATTTTTTTTTTGGGGGGGGGGTTTCTTTGCTGTGCTTAAAAGTTTTACTTACGTATGTAGTTTCACTTATGCATGTATTATATTGTATGTATTTTTGCTTTAGTTGCTTTGGGTTTTGGTGTCAGGTTTTAAAAACCAGGAGTGGGAGAAAAAAACAACAACAACAGGAGTGGAGCCAGAGTGATAGCATAGCACGTAGGGTTGCCTTGCATGGAGCCAACCCGGGTTCGATTCCCAGCACCCCATAAGGTCCCCTGAGCACTGCCAGGAGTAATTCCTGAGCACAGAGCCAGGAGGAACCCCTGTGCATGGCCGGGTGTGACCCAAAAAGCAAAAAATAAATACACAAATTAAAAAAAACATGAGTGGGACCAGTGGGACCAGAGCGATGGCACAGCAGGTTCGATCACTGGCACCCCATATGGTCCTCTGAGTAGGCCCGGGAGTGATCCCTGAGCAAAGAGCTAAGAGAAGCCCTGAGTACCACCAATGTAGTCCCCCCCACAATGAAAAACCCAAAATAATAAAAACCCAAAATAATAAAAAACCCACAAGGGCAGAAATGTGGTTCCCATGGTGGAGCACGTGCCTTGCGTAGCTGAGATGCTGGGCCCACTGCCCAGCATACCCTGGCCTTTCGGTATGCTGGCCACTGCGGGGCCCACTGGGAGTGGCCCCCACAGTAATCAAAAAAAAAAAGGCAGTCCCAAGACTGTTGCTGAGAAGCTTGCCACCAGCTTCGTTCCAGGAGTTTTATGATTTTAGGACATACACTCAGATCTTCAGTTCTTTTCTTTTCCTTTTTTGCCTTTTTTTGGGGGAAGGGGGGGTCACACCCGGCAATGCACAGGGGTTACTCCTGGCTCTGCACTCAGGAGTTACTCCTGGCGTTGTTCAGGGGACCATATGTGATGCCGGGAATCGAACCCGGGTTGGCCGCGTGCAAGGCAAACGCCCTACCCACTGTGCTATCTCTCCAGCCCCAGTTCTTTTCTTTTCTTCTCCTTTGTTTTCATTTTTGTTTTTGGATCATACCCAGCAGTGCTCTGGGCTGGAGCAATAGCACAGCGGGTAGGGCGTTTGCCTTGCACGCGGCTAACCCGGGTTCGATTTCTCTGTCCCTCTTGGAGAGCCCAGCAAGCTACCGAGAGTATCTCGCCCACACGGCAGAGCCTGGCAAGCTCCCTGTGACGTATTCGATATGCCAAACACAGTAACAACAAGTCTCACAGTGGAGACGATACTGGGCCTGCTCGGCCAAATTGATGAACAACAGGAGGACAGTGCTACCAGCAGTGCTCAGGGCTTCCTCCTGGCTCTGTACTCAGCGATCACTCCTGGCCTGACTCAGGTGCGGGGCGGGGGGCGGGGGCGGTGTACACCAAGTCAGCCGAGTGCCAGGTGAGTGCCCACCCCGCTGTGCTGTCTTTTTGCCCTTCAATTCATTTTTGGTTGATTCGTGTGTGGTGTTAAGATAATGGCCCGGGTTCGTCATTCTTTGGCACTTTGCTGTCTAGTTTTTCCAGTGCCATTTATTTCGTTTCATTTTTTTTATTTTCTTTTTTTGATTAAATTATTTTTGGGGGAGGTGGTGATGGGATTGGACTATACCTGGCAGTGCTTAGAGCATACTCCTGGCTCTGCATGCAAGGATCACTCTTGTGCCTGTGTTTCAGATCCCCAGTCGCAGAGAGATCCAGTTCCACACATGATAATGCAAAAGCAAAGGAACTTCGGGGGTTTTTTTTTGGCGTGGGGAGAGGATCCCATTCAGAAGTGCTCAGGGCTTAACACCTGTCTCCTCAGGAATCATTCCTTGCAGTGCTCAGGGGACTATAAGGAGGGGGCCAGGGATCGAACCCAAGTCAGCCATGTTCAAGGCAAACGTCCCCCCCGGCTCCCGCTGTCTTATCCCTCCGGGTCCTGGACTCTGCTCTTTGATTTTGTCCCTTTCCCTCGGACTTCCTCTGCTTAGCATAACTGCTTCCAGGTTCCCTTGAGTCCCAGCAAGAGACAGGACTCTATCTTCAGGGCTGGAGTGATAATACAGCGGGGAGGGCATTTGCCTTGCACACAGCCGACCCCGGCTTGATTCCCAGCATCCCATAGGGTCCCCCAAGCTCTACCAGGACTAATTCCTGAGTGCAGAGCCAGAAGTAACTCCTGAGTATCGCCGGGTGTGACCCAAAAAGGGAAAAAAAAAAACCCTCTACCTTCCCTAGAAGGATGAGGAAGGAGAGGCCGATAAAATCTCAAGGCCGAACTAGGCTGCCAAAACGAAGAAAGACAAAAATGACTGTCTGTACTTTCAATGCACATATGATGGCATCGGATGCATCCATCGAGGACCTGATGGTACAAGCACGAAAGATCAAGTACAACATCATTGGTCTGACCAAGACAAGAAGGCATCAATCACATCACACCGTTTTCGACACTGGAGAAGAACTGTTCCTCGGAACATGCGGCAAAAGAGGCATCAGAGGTGTCAGTGTCCTTGTCAACACGAACTTCACCATGAGCATCGATTCAACCGAATGCCTAACAACCCGAATCGGATGATTCCACTTGAATAGATGTGGCTCATGCCGGCAATTTCTATCTTCGTTGTCTACGCACCAACATCCAATTATGATGAAGGAGAAATTGAGAAGTTCTACATGGAGCTGGAGAAGTTCTGTGAAGAAGACCACACCTTCTACAAGATCATTGTCGGTGATTTTAATGCCAAGATAGGACCGAGAAGATCAGCCGAAGAACTCCACATCGGGACCCATGGCCTAGAATGGAATGAACAGAGTGAGAGACTGTCTGAGTTCATCATGTCGACCAAGACCATCCATGGTAACTCACAGTTCCAGAAGGCCAAATCTAAATGTTGGACATGGGAGTCTCCCAGTGGACAGTTCCACAATGAAATTGACCACATCATATTCAGTCGACGGTTTTGCCTGACCAATGTCGCTGTTGTCCCAAAATTCCAAATGGGATCAGACCACTGTCTCCTTCATGCAAAATACTACTTCACAGAGCAGGGAGAAAGGGCTGCAAAGTTTAAGAAGTGAACTCCCAGAACGACCACCAACTGGGAGCTCTTTGGCATTATTGCGGCAACATGGGAAGATACCATCATTGACAACATTGACGAGGAATATGATCAACTGCAACAGGGACAAATGGAGACATTACCAGCGCCGGCTCAAGCAAATCGATGAGTACCGGGATGTCAAGTGATCAAGTGATCTTCCTCAGTGACTGATTAATATCCTGCTGTGTGGCAAATACCACATCTTTTTTTTTTTTTGATAGTTGACTTTTTTTTTTTTAATTTCTTTACATGTGAATTTTATTTTTTTTTCTTTTTTTTATTTTTATTTTTTTTACAGTTGTAGATTTACATTTTTTTGTGCTTGGGTTTCAATTATACAATGATCAGATACCCATCCCTCCACCAGTGCCCGTTTTTCACCACCATGGATAATATCCCTCCCACCCCCATCCCCCCATCCCCCCTGTCTCTGTGGCAGGGCAATCCCCTGTGTTCTCTCTCTCCTTTTGGGTGTTGTGGTCTGCAAAAGAGGCATTGAGTGGCAAACATGTTCAGTCCATAGTCTACTTTCGACATGCATCTCCCCTCCTGGGAGGAACCTCCAAACATCCTTTATTTGGTGCTCCCTTCTCTATCTGAACTGCCCTTTCCTCTAGGATACCCGGCTGGCCTCTAAGTTATGGAGTAATCCTCCTGGTGCTGATCTCAGCTATTCTTGGGTATTAATCTCTTACTTTGTTACTTTATATCCCCCAGATGAATGCAATCTTTCTATGTCTATCCCTCTCTTTCTGACTCATTTCGCTTAGCATGATACTTTCCATATTGTACCACTTGTATGTAAATTTCATGACTTCATCTTTTCTAAGAGCTACATAGTACTCCATTGTGTAGATGTACCAAAGTTTCTTTAACCAGTCATCTGTTCTTGGGCATTCAGGTTTCTTCCAGTTTCTGGCTATTGTAAAGAGTGCTGCAATGAACAAACAAGTGCAGATGTCACTTCGACTATACATTTTTGCCTCTCTGGGGTATATTCCCAGGAGTGGGCAAATACCACATCTTTATCTACTTACCTGCTCTTGGGCTGTTGGGCTGTTCCCAGACACTCCGGGCTCACACTGAGTTCTGATTTCTTCCTCCCTCTGAATGAGTAGTCCCAGCGCAGATAGAACTTGCTGAGAATCCGCAAGTTCTTGTCTCCCACTCTGTTGGCAGCCTTTTGGCATCACTTGCCTTGCTGCAGCCAACCAGGGTTCAATCCCAAGCCCCATCCGCAGTCGCCATCAGAAATGATTCCTTTTCTTGTTGCTGTTTTAGTTGCTCATGGCTTACTCCTGGCGCGATACTTACTGATCTCGCCTGGTGGGCTCTGGAGACCAGCTGGAACACCAGGGATCGAACCCGGGTCAGCCTTGT